CGAACACTTTCAATTCTCAAAAGTTTCAGAACCCTACAGGACAAGGTCCACAGGGTATCAAAGCACCTTTACAGGGCAAGTGCTTGGACAGTCTAGGCAGATAATGCCTCATCCTATATGGTTCTTAGCACCACCTGAACGTGCTCAGCACCTTCTATTTCTATTTTCATGAGATGCCACATAAATGTTCATAGCTTTCAGTAAACGAACAGCTTTTCCTCAAATGGAATAGTTTTTCCTACCTCAATGAAGAGTATAAAACAAGTTGTCTGAAGCTTTTAACCTGATTGAGTTACAAAGTCATAACATTTCAATCATAACATATGCATAAAGACTTTTATTTATTTATTTTTACATTTGCATGACTCAAAATCACAAACAATTTTGCCACAGTTGGAAAAAAAAAAAGCCGTTTGCGAATATGGTGAACAGCATTCAACAAGGTTTGGGTTCTAGTGGCTTTGGCAACTGTTTGTGGGGCTTGTTTTGAACATGTTATTTCCAGATACATCATTCTCATCTGACAGGAACAATTTAGAGTCTTGAACATTTAGAAAGTCCTCAAGAAAAACATGAGATACATTTAGACAAAGAGAAAAAAAGAGAAGACAGCAAAACATAAAAAGAAATAATACTTGCATATACAGGAAAATAATTGTTCCAGAAATAACATAGTACAATGATCTAATTTGAAACTTAATAAAAGACAAAACTATTTTGCTAATTTCTGCAAGAACTGTTATTATTACAAATATTGCTAATATTTTAAATATATTCAGCCAGTCAATTTGAGGTGGACAGTTTATCTTCAGTACTCTTCTCACTATTTTCTTTAGAAGTCAGTTGTTTAGAGAGCAAAGACTTAATTTTTTTCAGGTAGTCTTCCCCTTCTTTACTAAGGTAAAGCATGTATGAAAACAAAGGAAAGCCCTTGAAATTTAAGAACTGAAATTTTGCTCGGAGTTTTTAATAGATTATAACCCACATCTGGCTGAATTCCACAGAAATTGCAGGGCACCTTTGTTTTTTCAGAATTAAATCTTTGTCTTGAATTTACTTTAAATCCACTAAAACTCAGGAAATTACCCCAGTACATATTTCCAAACTATGAGGAGAAGAGTTTGAGACTCCTCATTTTAATATTTTGGGGAAGGGGGAAAGTATTGTTTTTAAATACATGAAATCTCTTGCATTTAAACAAGTTTAAAATTGTGATATGCACGAACAAGGTATTTTCTGCCAGAAGATTAATTTACTGCAGCATTTTATCTGATTAGGATCCCTTTCCTACTCCCCGCTTTCAAATCTGGCCACCATGATCCTTGAATTCGTCAGTCCCAGACTGGATATGGTAGCTCACTGTATGTGTGACTGTAGGAAGAAGCAACACAGAAAGAGTTTGTTACAAACAGATCATCCCTTTGTTCTGGCTCCTCCATTGGCTCCTAATCTGCTTCCCCTGCCTGTTCAAGCTTTGATTTCAATGTTCAAAGCCCTCAATGGATCAAGACCCAACTACATCTCATATTGCATCTCTCCATCCATGAACTGCCAGAGAGTTTACAAAACTCAAGATGCATCATATAAGATCTGGAGATCAGCTATTCTCATTCAATGGCTGTGAAATGAGCTTCCAGACAAAGTCAGACTAATTCAGAGTTTGACCAGTTTATGGGCATGCTATAAGACCCTGCTATGTGTGAAAGTCTTCACACCACAGCCAGAATGGGGTGCAGGATACAGAGATTAAATGAAAACAAACAATATAGCCTCCTTTACTAGGGGGAAAGAGAAGTGGAGAAGACTCCATGAACTAGAGACCTCACCTTGTAAGTCTAATTTACTTGGGAAGCACCTCAATAATACAAAAAGAAAAGTGATTGATAGCTGGAGATGCAGACAATTATGAAGAACCCTGAGTAGAGGCAGGGTCTTGGTTATCTTGATAAACAACATGTTGTCAAATAAGAACAATATGACTCAGGGAAGAAGTGACATTATCAAAAACACACTGGGTACAAGCATAAGGACAAGAATAATCATGAATATATCGTGAGCAGGGCTTGATTAATCCCAATTACAAATCAATGGGATCAAGAGACATTAAAGAAACAAATGAATGCACAGATTTGGCGATGCATAATAATTACAGCAGGTGAAACAGGCTGTAGCAGCCTTTCATTAAATTTTATAAAAAACATTGGCAACCAAGCTGACTAGGTTCAATACATGTCTGATGAACGCAAAACAGCAAGCATATAGCTTGGAGACCTGGCAGGTGCATAGCAAGCTGGAAAAAAACTTTGATACCGCTTCACAACAACGTTACCATTCTACAAATAGACTGATGTCAGAAAGGATTTAAAAAGAAACTGGAAATTGCCATACCATCCAGGTGATGACCAGGGCCCCAAAGTGGGTGGCTAAACAAACAAACAAAACAAATCAGACAGATGGGTTAAAGACCATGGCCTTCCCCAATGTTCCTTGAAAGAGGAGAAAGCCAGACACAACATGAAATGACAAAGACAGAGAAGCATCTGTATTGATAGGGAAAAAGAAATTGGCGATGTGCCCTAAAAGGAAAGATGACCTGGTAGCCTGGCGCTTGTGAGACCTGGGTTCAATTCCCTGCCAGGCAACAGACTTCCTGTGTGATCTGGGCAAGTCCTTACTGTGCGATCTGTCTCAGTTCCCCACCTGTAAAATGGGGATAATAGTGCTTCCCTACTTCACATGGGAGTTGTAAGAACAACACCTTAAACCCTGCAATAGGCTCAGGTACTAGAGTGATGGGGACCATCTAAGCATGACAGATAAATTAGATAAGAAATCTTCATGACAATGCTGATTACAGTAAGGCAAATTTCAAGAGCTCAGAAATCATGAGTCAGACTCTCAGAAATCATGAGAGATTGGTGGCTATCTTACTAGCTTCAGCCCCATTGACAGTCATAGAAGATGGTGACCATTCTGAATAAGAGAAAATTTGTGATTTGGCAGCCTTTCATCACGTTTTCATGAGACAGGTTAAACAATACCCCGAAATTGCTAGACATGGTAAAAATCAGAGAAGTTGGCAATACTGTAGAAAACTAGATTAGTTTAAATTAGAAAACAGATTTCAAAACAAAGACTACTCAATAAGGAGGAAAAAGTATTCCATAAACAGGCTGTCATATGTCCAGAAGAGTCCTAAAAAGAGTGTGAAACAGTGGTTAAATATCCCTGTGACATCCTGTGTCATTTACATGAATATACATCTACTCTGTAAGGAGGATAGGGATGGGGAAATCTTTATTTAGATTTAGAGCACCATAAGATGGTACAGAAGATGGTACAAAACAAACGTGGAGAAAAACAAGTTTACTGCTTCTAATAGCTTATTATCCAACTCTGCTAAAGTGTGAAACACAGGACAACAATTTAGTCACAAGAAGTTGGAGACAATTTCAGAGTGAATCAGTGTAATAAGCTTACATGAAAGAAGTAGATTTTAAGGAGGTATTTAAAAGTAGAAAATGGAAGGTGCTTAGTACACAGAAATAGTAGGTGATTCCAAGCATAGGTGCAGACTGAAGGAAGGCAAAGATGAATGAGATGGCACGGAGTGGAATGAGCAAGAGAGAGAAGAACAAAATGAAAGCAAAAATGTATGTGGGGATAGAGTTTTACACATACTGCTCAGGGCTTTTAGTTCATACAGTTTTGACAACTGACTAGAAAATGCAAAATTATAGTAAAGGATTATTTGCCTTCACCAAAATTGAGTTGTTAGTTTGATTATGATATCTTAGCAGTCATGTTTAGTTTTCCAAAGTACATCTTTTAGTTCACAGTTAGGCAATGTACTGTCATAACTAGTTTTCTACAACAAAGAATATTAATGGACACCAGATTATTTCACATTCTAAAAAGTGACTTCACAGTACTGTGATTTATACAAATAACTTCTCAACTTCTCATTAAGATTTAACCTGTCATAAGGACAGGTGAACGCTAGCATGGAATCATTTTGCTCTGAACTCACTAGGCTAAGTCCTTAATGAAATTCAGCCTGCCATCCGTTATATTAGTGGATGATCTGACCCACCTTGAAACTTGATGACTTTGGTTCAGTGGGTTTACACAAAGGTTATTTTTTGTTTTGGTTCACATTCTGAGTTTTGCTTAGAATTTCAGATTGGAAGAAACTCAAAGTGAAACACCACCTACTTTCCCCAAGTTTCATACCAAATCTTGCATGGTTTCCAACCCAAATTGTAAATCATCTTTATTTCACTCAAAACTTGGCCTAAGTTCACCCTTTCAGCAGTCTTTCCCAAGCAGTCAGAAAAACTAACAGACAACTTAGATCACAACAACCGTGTTAGACTTCAGCACCAGCTATCTCCTGCCTAGTACAACTGAAGGAAAGAGGAGTTACTCATCTGATTGTCCTAGAACAGGTCTCACAAAAGGTGCCTATGCAAATTTGCCTATCCTGCACAATGGATGATCTAGATATAGCATTTTACCGGTTATAAAAGTGCATCTACAAATATAATAAAAGTCTAAAAAGCAACTGAAGAAATAACCTTAATAATAAAAACAGAGATGACAGTTTAACCAAGAAAATTATTTACTTTTTGTGGGACATTAAGGATCAGAGGAGTGCTTATTTGTTTAGACACATGCACTCCACTTATCTTAGTCTTTAAGCTGCTTGTGAAATTGATTAAAAAAGCAAAACACAAACATATAAAAGAGCAGCATATTTCTTCCTTCCCCCATAACCCATCATCAGTCAGAACATACAATACAGGTCAAAGTCACTAACATTCATCATCCAAGGTAAAAGATACAGTGGAGTGAATTTTCAGGGTGGAAAGGAAAAAAGGGGGAAGTCACTATGACGATGGGCACATGTACTTAAAATAAAAATGACATAGTCTTCTTGTCCTGTATGCTGGGAAACATATTCATGAATCAATATTAAACAGAAGGTTTAATACTCATACCTGAAAGTGAACTTGGCCTTCTGAGATGTCAGCTGTTCAGTGTGCCCAGTGAGATCCATTTCTCCATCTTCAAAAGATAACTGTGTTGCACCCTATTGAGAGAGTCACATTTTGAAATAAAATATATTTTGATGGGTTTGAAACAATAGTTGTATGATATTTGAATCTCCGCTTGAAATGGAAAACAAGAACAAGCAGAAATATCTCAGCATTCCAGTTGGCAGTGGAAATGAGAGGTTCTGTTCTATATATAGAACGTAAGGCACTCTGCTGTTTCTCTAAGCACTTTGTATCTGAGGTGCTTTCCTTATTGGACAGAGTCCTACGCGCTTACAATGACTTTCTGGTTTAATACTCTGCGAAGTCCATCATTATTTGCTTTCAGAACTCAAATGCTAACATACTGTACAGTAATCAAGGCCACATGTATTCTACAGTACATTAGGTCTCTATTATATAGCAGCAATCTCCCCTGCCCAAACTTATTTGGCTTGTTGAGGGATTTGGTGAGGTGCCTCCCCTTTCATCTTGTGGTTGTGCCCTAATTCTTCATTTTCTTCCCCTTCCCTGAGTGGCTCATTTCCTCCCCAAATTTACATGGTCCATTGGTGACTCAGATATGCTCAGTACCTGCCAAGTCAGAATGGAAGGGGATCAGAGAGGAGGAAAACTGATTCTGTTGGTGCCCAACTCACTTGGCCATCTTGCCCCACAAGTCTAGATCTCCTCTACCCTCATTAGTCGGACAGAGGCATAACATACTCATGTGGGCCCCACAGCGCTCTCCAAGTTAAAGAGATAGTGCAGAAGCTGCAGAGTAGAGCTTGCATACCCAAAAAGCTCCTTGGGAACAGAAAAAGCCTCTGGCTTCCCCAATGCTATTTGCCAGATAATGAGTGGGAATGGCTGGAGGGAAAGGGTTGTGAAGAATCACCGAAACTCTGCAAGAAAGAAAGTACTTGAAGCTGAATTTTTCTGGTGCTTCTGAGCTCCATAAAGGTACAGATCTGGCCTGAAACTCTCACTTTTTCTGATCCAGAGCCACCTCCTCAGCCAATGATCAGCTGGCTGGCTTTGAAGAAACCCAATAGCTTTGGCTCTTCAGTATCTGCTTTTGCAATAGTGCTACAGCAGGGAGAATATTTATGTGGTAAAAGCAGTTTTTTGCAACAACCTCACAGAAAAGAATGTTACGCAGCCATTTGACCAGATACAAAATATGTTGCACACAGGGACCTGGCATTAACGCCAAAGCACTTTGGAAACTATCATTTAACTTTCTGTTCCAGAACCTCATCTTCTTTGTGTTTGCTTTCTTCTTTATTGGGAAGGGGAAGAGGTACCAAAGAGATAAGACCACTGTCAGCTTGTGATGTATTAGCTTTAATGTACTGTACTTCACTGTGACCCTCATGGCAATAATGTAAACAGAGCAAAATCCATAACAAAGACCTTCCTTGGAGAGGTCACTTCTGCCAGCTCTTGTAACAGGAATATAGCTGGAAGATATAAATCTTCAGATGTCAGCACACAAAGAGAATTCAATTCATTGTTTGATCTTAACCAGATAAAAACTAAAGTTAATTTTTTTCACCAATGGAACACATTCGTCCAGTGTATATTCTTACTGTTACCAAGTTGTCTTCAGATAACCAGAGTGGCAAGGTTGTATGCCAAATCTAAAAACAATAGCAGCTGGACTGGTTATTCTATTTCCTCAATAATAAGATCTTACGGCCTAAGAAGAAACTATGTTATAACTTTCCATTTCTCTCAGAAATATGATTTTGTAAGACTGGTATTGTTGAGGTCTATATATATATATTATAGTGTCTTGATGATTTCTATGACAAGTTGTTCAGTTTATAAGTAACAAGGGAAAAAAAGATGGATTTTTCTTGCAAGCTAAGCTTGGAATTGGTAGATCAAACTGGGTTTTATCTTGTTCATGAACTATTCTTTAAGTGGAATCTAACATAGAGACAGAATTATTGCCTAATCTGAATAGAAGTCAGCTCACTCCAATGTAGAATAGCAAAACCAATACAGCTAATAAGAATAAAAGCTATTTTTTTGTAATTAAAGTAAGTAAATAAGACTGAGTACACAGAGGAGGCAGATATTTTGCAGTCATTTTCATAGTGGAACCACTCTTCAAGGGACAATTCTCTGATAAACTCTGAGAATTCCCTACTCTGTATTATCTCATAAATCAACAAAGCAATCTCAAACAAAGGGTAAGTGATGCAAATCTGACGCACAGTCTCCAAGCGATGACTTCTACTTCCTAGCAAATCCAGCCTTGACGGCAATAAGATCCACAAGCACACAAACTTAATTAACAGGAATGTATGAGATCTAGCAACTCACTAGTAAAGCAAACCCTATAACAACATGGTAATACTGGTGCTGAAGACGCTCTTGCCTTTGTATAGGGTTGGCAATAGTAACACAAATAGAAATATCAGAATTTGATCTCATACTGCACCTTTTACTCACAAGTATTTCTAGATTTGAAGACATAAAGGACCTTTTGGATCACCTGATCTCCAGCATAACAAAGACCTTAGAACCTCACCCTGTAATTTCTGCATCAAACCCAGTACTTCTGTTTAAGCTGTACTCTCAACTCAAAGACATAAGGCACTCAATCACAACAGTCATCATTAGGAGCTGAAAAATAGTACAAACGCAGCCTTACATATTAAAACCTCTTATTGACAGAGGGAAGGTGGACCAGAACACTGAGTTTACAATCTGAGAAGTGGCATGGAATCTCTTGTTTCAGGGCGATAATCATCAGAAATGGGCAGAAGGGAATTCCACATAATACCTCAGCTAACCTGTAGAACTGTACTAGGTTTAATCCCATCACCTTCTGGCCCAAATGAGAGAATGCTAGAGCATGAGCTTATGGCAACATGAGAACCATTAAAAAATAATAAATAATCCCACAATAATGCTTCCAGAGCTGACTTTAGATTTTTCAACAGCAGCAGAAGTAATAACTGTGTCACCATATAATTTACTCAGAGTCAACTGACAGCATAATACAAAAGCACTACAGGTTTTATTTTGCAAATAAGAAGTATAACATGCTAAATCACGTGGTGAAAGGAAAGTCACGAAATTGCACATATCTAAAAACAGGGAAAATATTTTTACTTTCAATTTAAGAAATTTAAAGAAAGTGCTGTTAAAAACCATGTCTTTCAACTTAGAACCAGAAGGGAGAAAACAAGACTTTTGTAATATAGTCAACTTTGAAACCTATCCTCTTGGCCAGTCCTGTACAAACACATATAACCCAAGTGCTTGAAAATTTCTTGTATTCCTTTTGCTACAGCTCTCAAATTGTGCATGACTGCATGTGCCTGAGAGAGAGAGAGTGTGCGTGTAAACCATTGACTGAGATATATCAGAAACCCTTATCTTTCCTTCTCAACAAAAAATACCATGTTTAGATTTGTTGTACATTACACACAATACTGAAAAGATGTTAGAGATAACCAGGCAAACAAGTGTAAAAATGTTCCATTACAGCGTTAGCATGATAAAATGGCTACTTACCTTTTATTGTGATTCTTCAACAGCATTGTGTCTGCATAGTCACACCAGAGAGGAATGTGTCCCCAACCCAGCAAAGCTCAACTTCAGAAATATTCAGAGCTCAGGTTATAAAAGGACCCCCAACTATCTCAATTCCTCCTGGTAAACCAATAATGCTGTAAGATTAGTAGTTACAGGCAATGGGGAAGATGGGCAGACAGTGTGAAAATGCTCATACATCACTCTTGAAAAGCTACAGTTATGACAAGTAACCATAATTTTCTTCTTGTGTTCCAGCAATGGCAGAGACACAGCGTGGTTTCCTACCTCCACAGGAGTTCTGCCACCATTGTTTTCAATATTAGCATTGAGTGGGTGATGGATAAGCTTGAGGAGGCAGCTGTCGATGCTGCTGAGCTGAGCACTATTCTGTTTTGAGATCTTGAATAAGCCAATGACATTTCTTGTTGGCTCAGTTTGGTGAATTGCTGCACGGACAGGTCAATCTTGACAGGCAAGAAGCAGTACGCGTAGGTCTGGTTATTTATCAGGATAAAACAAAGACCCTGACCATCACTATCATGCAGCCTCCAGCTCCAGATTATAACCAGCTCAGTATTAACCTGTCCGGACAGGACATCGGGAAAGTGGTAACTGTTGAGGACTTGGGCAGCATCATAGACAGTACTGGAGGATGCTCAAGAGATGTAGACACCTGTATAGCAGCAGCTGCCACCATATTTTTGGCCTTTCGGCAACCTCTGTGGCAATGACACAACATCAAAGCTTGCTACAAAGTTGCAGATCAATAGAACGTTGGTTATACCAACTTTGTTGCATAGCAGCAAAACATGGCACTGACGAAGTCTGAAGAGCATTGGATTGACATTTTCAATTCTTGTTGTGTTTGCCAACTGCTCCACATTAAGTGTCAGGACGAGATCAGAAATGAGGATATTCTAAGCCAAACACAGCAATTGCCTCCATCATCAGCACTGGGTCGGCTTAGGCAGCTTTCTTGGTATGGATATGTTATTAGAATGGAAGTCCAACTAATTCTGAAGCGTCTTTACCAAAGAATGCCGCTACACAGCTGGAGATCAGGTGGTCACCAAAAGCTTCAGAGGTGCGATAAGATTTCCAGGGATGGACAAACTGAATATCCAGCCAGACTACCGTAAGAAGCTATCTAGAGATCAATCTGGGAGCTGCTCAGTCTGCTAGGCAGCCACATTCCGTTGGGATTTGCCATGATGATGATGGTTCCAAAACAAGTCTAAGAATCAGATGCTGAGTTGAGAGAGTAGTGCTGTATAAATGTCTGAAGAAAACCCCAGGTGGCAGCCCTGCAGCAGGAACACCTTGCACCTAAAGCATAAGGTGTGCATTTAACATTATCTTTTATCAATCTGAAGAATGCAAATGAATATATGCATCAACTAGGGAAGTTTATGTACATATAGACAAAGCCCAAAGTAAAATATCTTGATTTGGAACGTAATTTTAATTGAAAGAGTTAAAAATGAAAATAGTTATTTGAAGT